TATAATTTCATTAGGAGTATATATATTGCAAAAGTTTCGTTTTAAAAAATGTCAAATTTTTCAATTTCACTAGATATCTTCTGGATTTTCAAATATTCAGTTTTTAAACAATATTTCCATTGATTAGCGATTTACAAAAAAAAAATTGGAATTATTTAAATAAAAAAAAAATGAATGACGCTGGTATCGAACCCAAGGGATCCGCGTGCCAGTCGAGCGCGTTGCTGACTAGGCAACGCGCTCATTACGAAAATTTAATTTCATTAGTGGTATATATTCAATATATTGAATAATTTTTTTCATTTGAAATTCCACAAAATGTGGCTTCCCCCTTCCGCTCGTTTTACAGTTGGCTAAATTTCAGTTAAACAAATAAAAAAAAAGGCATTCCTTCCCTCAGAAAATAAAATTCACCCCGTTGACTTGATAGACACCCCAGCATTGGTGTGGCGCCCTCCCTCTCTTGGGGTGGAGTACTACGATGCCCCTGGGGCATCAATTCAAACCCCCAGAACTGAGCCTCTACTTTAGTCAATCCTCTTTGGTCACACATGCAAAATTGATAAAGAAAAGAGAAATGGTGTGGCGCGTGCGCGGGAATAATCCTCAAGTGCTTTGAATTTTCGGAGAGGAGTGAGAACAACGAGAACAGCCCTCAGTCGCTGAAAGATGGACGGTGGTGGAGCGTACGGTGGTGGTAAGGCTGGTGCCCCATTCGACCCAATTTCATTTGTACAAAGGCCTCAGGTTATTCTAAAAGCAGTATGTCTGGTGAGTCACACACTAAATAATAAAACAACTCAATTATTCGTCCTCTGACAATTAATCCAACTCAAGAGCCACAGCAACATTGAATACATCGATTTCAACCCCCTCCCCCCTCCCCACCCTTCTGCCCTTCGCGCCCGCTACGATGGGGATGTTCTATTGATTTTTATGAGAATTAACTCAATAGAATCACCATCATAACGAGCGTAAAAAATTCTCTTACCATTTTTGGATTTTTCAAATTCTTTATATTTGAATTTTGACATCATGACCCCAGGGTTTATCATCACGATTGATCTAGTGATCGATAAAACTCCTGAGGGGGATGATGAAGGGGCCAAAGGGCGGTTTTTTTTTATCTTCAATGCACGGGCTAAAAGAGGGACAACCCTACACTGTTTTAAACCTGTGCCGCCACTTTTTGAATTTAATTAAATTTTCATTATGAGTCATGATGAGGGATTTTTTTTTGTTTCAACCGCTTCAGCTCTTCTCGATCATTGTCTTCGGATCTATAAGCAGCAAAGGATATATGAACGACGAGAGTGGCAAGGAGTACTGCCTTTATAACAAAGATGCAAATGCTTGCAACTATGGTGTTGGTATTGGAGTTCTGGCATTCCTTGCCTGCATCGGCTTCCTCGTTGGTGAATATTTGTTTGAGCAAATGTCATCGGTGAAAACACGGAAACATTACGTGCTTGCTGATCTTGGGTATGAATTTTGAGTTATGAAACGAATTATGTAATGAACGGGAAAATTATTATTTGCTGGCTTTGAATTCAGTGGTTTTTGTGTCAAGGATTTAAGCTTCAGGCTCTTGCTGTCTCCGAAATTTATTCAAGTGTTGAGTGTTTGGGGGTGAAAGAATGGGAATTTTCGGAGATAACGTTTTTAGAGCACAAATAATCGTTTTCTCGGGAAAGTGGAGCAGAAGGAAATTTTCGAGGGGTTGGCAATGGAAGGAATTCCTCTGCTTCTCAATGAAAAATAGGGCAGAGGGAGGGAAATTTTATAGATTTTCTCCAATAGATTGAGAGATATTGATGATTAAAGACGCTCCCCCTTTTCCTCTGCTCTCGTATGTGTTTTCGACAATGTTAAAGGACTTGTGACAAAATCGGAAGATTTTAATTGCATTTCAATAGAATTTATACTGTATTCTAATGGAATTCAATTTCAATAATTCAATTAATTTTCAATACTCAATTTAAATTCGCTACACGGATACGCTACATTCCGGTGTGCGCATTTTAGAGCACTAATGGGAAATTCAAACGAAACCAAACTCCACGGAATTTTCATTACTCTCGGTTAACAAAGTTCGTATTTCAGAATTTATTCTGGTGCATCTTTGATGTTCATTGTTTTTCATTTATTGCAGATTCTCGGGACTTTGGGCATTTTTATGTTTCATTGGATTCTGTTATTTAACTAATGCATGGAACAAATCAGCAACACCTCCCGATGGATATGGTGTTAACAATGTTCAAGGAGCCATTGCCTTCCTGTTTTTCTCTATATTCTCGTGGGTGAGTAATCGCGCAATCCCAGTAATGCCTCTTCACTCAATCCTTTTAAATTACCCCACCCTTAAAATTTTAAGAAACAAATAAGGAAACTGCAATTTTGAATAAACAGAATGATTTCTATAATTTACATTAAAAAACACCGGGACTTTGATGAAATAAAAATTTTTGTTTCCTCAATTAAAAATTTTTTCTTCAACGCAGATATTTTTTAAATAAAATAAAAATACATGCATTTTACTGTTAAAAAAAATAATCTGCCATTTGGATTTCTTTACCAATTATAGTCCCTCGGGAATAGCAATAGTATCTCGTCCTGGTGATAAAAAAAAATTGAAATTGTAGGCGGGGAGTGCTTGGTTTGCATTCCAAAGATTCAAGCAAGGTACAGATGCTGCATTTGCACCGAGTTATGAGGCAGATCCAGTGGGTGGTGCTGGTTACACGAGTTATCCAGACGCACCAGACGCGGCATACCAGGAGCAGCCCTTCCCCCAGCAACAGCAGCAGCAACGCGGTATGACTGATTTCCAGGCTCCAGCATATTGAGATCATTGATATTAGTTTCAACAAGCGAAAACCAGCAAAAGAAATTCGATGTTTACGATAATTCAGACGTTATTGCACAGCGGCAGAGCCATTCAACTCAACAACAACAATTAGCATAATGAAATGAGATTAATAATCATAGGAAGGACAGTAAAAATGGAATGGGACTTTAACTATTCATTAGAATTTCCCCGACTTTCCTTTCCTTATTATTTATGATAGCTCTCTTTTCAAGTATTGCCATGTTACATTATTAAAGTTACAAGCTACTCATCTCGATAAATTCTATTGCTGCTTTTTGTATGATATAGACAAAAAAATCAAGAGACCTAGGGAATCTTTATTTTTCGGTGTACCTATATTTTAAAAGAACATGGGGATTAAATAATGAAAGAGAATGTACACGTGAACTGTGAATTGAAACGGGCCTCAAATGACCGTACTGTATCGTCTATTCTGTTGAAAAAATTTACTTACTAATTGTACTGAGGGATTAATGGGGAATTGGTGATTATATCAAGGCGACCAGTAGTCGAGCAACCAAACGTTCTACATATAGTTCGTTGAGATGCTATTGTACCGAATGCTTGATTCATTTTCAATTATAAAAATAATTACATAGTGTTCAGAACAAGGAGGAAAATTTCCATCGTGATTGTGCAGTTAGTAGATTGAAAGTAGATCATTATCAGATTATTTATTGATTAAGTAATGATGGAAAATGTGTAGCGGAAGGTTCTAAACTGTGAGGAATGAAAAAGAATTTATATTTATTGAGTATGAGTATTTGAGAGAGAGCCAGTTTACTGCTATTTGCTTTTGAGAGATCTTTCTGCCGATTTTCTGTGCTTTTTTTTAATTTTATCTAGAGCCTTCCGATTGACTTTTGTAAGCGCGAAGAAAAGAAATTCTTGACGACAGACTACGATACTTCTATTGCTGGAAAACACGTGTTTTTTTTTCTCAGTGAAGGCGGAGCTTTCATGTCCAAACACCCGCCAAAGAGTTTTAATTTCGTGTTGATCAATCCAAAGCTAGCAATCAACCGCTGATTTTTGAATGACTGATAATTATTTAATCGTCGAGTTTTGTGGTTTCAATTCCGCCGAATATTTTTAGAAGAATTGAAACCCCAGATTCTGGTTTATACGTTGACATCCGAATCACATGTACCTGGTTTTTATTTATTTAACTTTCATAAACTCCAGCTATTATTTATACTTTAAAAAATAAAGCGGTAATTATGCGTTGTAAATTGATATAATCGCGTAATTGTTGTGATTTTCGGACTGCCCGATGTATTGCTGATGGAGATAAATCTAGTTACCATTAATTCGGTGTGCATAATCCTTGTGAGCAAAGACTTAGCACGTGAAAGCTCCACGCGAAGAAAAATTAATAATAAAATTTACCTTGAACCTCAGTAATCGGCTCTGGAGGAATTTCAATCCAAGCAGTGTAGGACAAAAACTTATCGGCTTTTCACTACGTCAGGATAAATTTCATTGTAAATTATTCTCTGTGCAAAATTCACTGCGACTGTATGAATGTCATTCCTGTATAATCCGATAGTATTATAGACTTGCGAATTATCTGTAGATTATGAAAATTCTGGAAATTAAAAAAAAAATGATGAAGCAAAAGTAAAGTAATGTAATGAACAAAATAAATATATTAAACAATATAGCTGTATTATAAAGAAAACGTGAAAAAGGGAGAGGTCGGTCATCGGCGCCTTGGGATTATTGCACATACGGTGTTAACATCCATTGTGCTCTTATATTCATTTTCTTCCGTCAAACAGAGCAAAATCCGTACAGAGAGAGATTTTCACGGAAAAACTGATAATGCAGTACTAGAAACGCTAGGCAATCTGACAAGCGCAGGAAAATTTCAGCAAGCATGTGAATTTCACCGCATTTATGGGAAATTGAATTTTTCATTTCTATATAAATACAAGAAAATTCACATTCGCTTTTTTCGATATCTAGAAAAAAATCTCTCTCCGTGTGAAAATTCACTCTGAAATTTATTGTGAAAAAAATCTAATATCTTGTCTTTGTTGATTTTCGACCAATATGTTTCATAATATTGAATAAATAGAGTTATAATTAAATGTAATCTTGGTTATTATTATGATTCATAATTTCTCTCTGCAATAAAAATATTTACATTGAACAAAATTTTATTTCTATTTCATCCTCTTCGCAAGTTGCGGTGCTATCTCGAAATTGTTTTTAAATCATTGAGAGATGCTCCTTATATTTTATTTATCTTGGATTCATTAATTGATTTATCCATTAATTGATTTATAGTTATCATGATTGTATCTCGTTTTTTCAATGTTTAATGCATAATCATTGAGAGAAAAAACAAAATTTTGGGGATTGAAAAGAGCGAGGGAGTTCAACTCACCACAAGAAATCCACAGCTCTGGTCGAAATAGCAGAAATCTCTCTTAACATCTCATTAATGAAGTTTCTTGTCTCGAAAGAACTCCAGACCCAGTGGCCAGTGTTTTGAGAGCGCATTGCCAGGTTCACTCTTAAAAATTTTTCTCTTATCTCTATAACCTTGTTTTCAACTAAAAAGGTTACACACCTCAATTAAACCATCTGTTAACTAACTTCATCTAACTTAGTACTACCAATTCTACTGATTCGAGAGATAGCACGTGAATACGGTGAGCCCTAAATATTGCTTCGGTCCATAATCCAAGTGGTTGACCATATCTAAATTAATTGGCAAGTTACATTTCTTCAAGTTTTTTTATAGTAACAAGCATGATTAAATAACCGACATTTTCACTTTTGTCATTGACATCGAAACGTAACCGTTCAGATTCAAAAGCCATTGTTCAGTCACTCGGGCTGTAATAAACCCGTGAATAATCCAATTTTTCACATTTTCAGGTCGAAGTATCGTTTGGTTATCACTGAATTACGTACGATTACTCCAGATTCGTCGCAACCCCTCGGAGATCGAAGAACTATAATTTTAGATTGGATAATAAAATATTGTTGTTAAAAATGTCAGACGTGAGGCCAACGATGACTGTCTCAACAAACACCAATAATGGTGCTTGCGTTGTTTGCTACAGGAATGTAAACATTTACAGCATCGGTATGTGCGAGCATCCGGTGTGCTACGAGTGCAGCACACGAATGCGTGTGCTATGCAAACAGAACGAGTGTCCAATATGTAGACAAGATCTTCCCAAGGTCGTCTTTACCACGGTGATCAAACCATTTCGTCACATACGCAGGGGCAATCTCCTGGACACTCGTTACAATATTTATTTTGAGAGCCCAGATATTCTGGAGAAGTTTACAGAACTTCTGGCTCATTCCTGCAACCTTTGCGACGAGAGACAGGTTTTCAGCAGCTTCAACAGCCTCAAAGACCATATGAGGAAGAAACACGAATTACATTATTGTGACCTTTGTGTCGAAAACCTAAAGGTAATTACTCATCAGTCAGCATTGCACTTGAATTATTACACGATCTATTTCTTCCCATAAAATTTTCATATAAATGAAAAAAATAAAAATAAAAATTCTTCAACATTCCCACACATATAAAATAAATATACTCCTAAATTTTAGAGATAAAAAAAACGAAAGGAATCTGAGTGGGATAGAGAACCGCATTGAAACCTCAAGAATTTTCAGCCCTAACTCTCCTCTATCCCAAAGTTCTCGAAACAATGCAGTCAAAATTGGTTGAACTCACTCATTAAATAATTCTCCCAAAACCACAGAAATGTTTTTTATCCAAGTCCCTGAGATCTCATCCTCAACTCATTCCAGATATTTTCCTGTGAGCGTCGCTATTACTCTCGTCCAGACCTCGCCCACCACCGTCGAAAGGGTGACACAGACGACAAGAGCCACAAAGGGCATCCCCTCTGTGAATTCTGTGATCGCAGATACATGGACAACGACGAATTATTCCGTCACTTGCGCCGCGACCACCTGTACTGCCATTTCTGTGACGCTGACGGTTTACACCAGTACTACAGTTCCTACGATTACCTGCGAGACCATTTCCGTCAGGAGCACTATCTCTGCGAGGAGGGTGTTTGCTCGGAGGAGAAGTTCACCCCAGTCTTCCGAACAGACATAGACCTGAAGGCGCACAAGGCTACAGTGCATGGCAAGCACCTGGGCAAAGCGGCAACAAAGCAAGCACGAACTTTGGAGCTAGAGTTCACCTTAGCACCTCGTGGAGACCCCAGAAATGCTCGAAGAGTTCCGCCAATGGGTGCAGGCCCCTCCTACAGAGATTACACCCCGAGGAGTCGTGAGTACGTGGAACAGAGGGACTTCCACGAGTCCGGCACCCCATTTTTCGACCCCGAGGCCTCGTTCATGCGTCAGCCCGACGTCCAGAGTACTGAAGAGTTTCCTTCACTGGGTAACGCCCCCGTCCCCTCGAATCCCACGCAGACCAAAACAAAGGGTCGAGGCAATCTCACTATCAGAAATTCCCTGGCTCCGCGACCTCTCGCCGTCACCGACGAGAACTTTCCTGCCCTGGGGCCAGACTCCACCCCCAGCAGTGTCTCCAAAACGGTCAATTTAAGTGTCTACTCGTCGAGCAGGACCCAACCATCGAGCTCAGGCCCATCGCGACCTCAGAGTTCAGCCCCTAACGTCTCCATCCAGGTGAATCACAAAACCGATGGAAGTATAACGACTCGCGTATCGGGGCCGACTGTCAGAATCCGACCAAACACTTTCACCAGAGATTCTGATTTTCCCGCACTAGGGCGCAGTGACTCCAACACCTGCAGAATGGACTCCACCGCCTCAGAATGGACGAAAGTCAGCTGCGTCAAGCCCTCCTCGAGCTCGAAGAAGAAAGTCGCTCCGGCCCCTGTACTAGATCATCCAGCTTCCCCAGTCCCCTCTAGTGAGGCTTTTCCCAGCCTCCCCAAGTCCTCGAAGGCTAAGAAGTCCTCAGTATCAGTGGTGGCTAATGACTCTGCCTACGCCTCCACTTGGAATCGGTCTACAGTAATCGATAACGAATCAAACTCTAGTGATGCGAACAAGGTCAATACGAAGAAAAAGAAAAAAAAGAAAGTAAAAACATCAAGTGGTAATAACTCAAGTGGAAATGAATCATCAGCCTCGAAATCAAATGTACAAAGTGCCCAGATGCAGGATAAACCGTCCGAAGCCCTCAAGCAGACGTCAAACCAGTCGTCAGGGGCAGGCAGAGTTGACTGTCATAATCAGGAGAACCAAAAATCAACAAAGAAGAAAAATAATTTCCCAGAGCCTCAGTCCATGACTAATTCACTGGAGAACGAGACAAAAGCGTCTACCAATGGACTACGAAAGAGATCGGAATTAAAAATAGATAGTTTAAACAATACGAATAATGTGCGAAGAACAGCGGAGGAGTTTCCAGCGCTAAGTAGATCATCAAAGACAACTCCAAATCCACCCCCTGGCTTCAGTACCGGACCACCACCACCACCTGGATTTGCGGTTAAACTCAATAGCACTGAACAATCTCGAGCTGACAATGGCCTGACATTTACAAACAGTTCAGGGGAGAGCTTCTCCATTTTCCCTGATAGCAGTGATAAATCGTGGACCTATGTGCCACCGTTGGACTTTCCCAGGAGGAATAAAAATCTGGTAGCAAAAATTGGAGAGGTCTTGGAGAGCCAGAAAGAATCAATGGAAGAGTTTCGGTATTTGAGTGGACTCTTTCGCCAGGGAACACTCAGTGGAGAACACTATTACAAAAAATGCAGGAGTGCTATGGGCGCTGATTCATTTCAAGATGTTTTTCCAGAAATGCTTATTTTACTGCCGGACATTGGTAAACAAAAGGAACTTTTTGACTTGCATAAGAAGGAAGTGGGTGGTGTTAAAACATTAGATGTCTGCAGTACCTGTGGGCAGATTGTAAAAACTGGGAGTGATTTTAAGGCACATTTATCGAGTCATACTCTGGACTGCCACTTTCCTGCTCTCGGTCAGACCACCACTGTTGTGGGAAATACGTGGGTTAGGAGAGGGGCATGATGCTGAATTATTGATTGTTGAAGCATCATTAATCCTTACTGGTTGTTAATGATTTTCATTATTGGCGGATGGGGGGGAACAGATTTTCAGGGCTAAGTTGTTCATTGTTTGGATATGCAGGGATCATAGAGGGATTGAGAATTTTGTGGATTCGAAAATTCTTACTTTAACTCACGTTGAAAAACAAATTATTCACTCGTCTCATTTTGCCATATCTCCTTCTTCGGTGAGTATAGAAATTATTTTTGGGAAAAATCGAATTTTTCTCTCGTTTGAAAGGATTTTTTTCATCAGTACGAAAGTGGTAATGTGAAATAAGTCGAATTTTAGTACTGGTAAAAAAATTAATCATCTGTAAAAAAAGTTCCTCAGCGTTTAAATATCTCTGCAGATGAAGAAGATGAAATTTTTGTAGAACCATTTTTTGGAGCGTTCAATCCTCTTCGAAAAAAAAATTTTTGATAAAAATATTATTGGCTCCTGTCGTTTCCGCGATATTTTCGAAGACTCACCGAAGACCACTTATCTCATCCTACCACTTCGAGACTGAGTTTATAATTCATAAAAATATTAAATACGATTTATCTCACTTTCATTTTCCTACTAGTGTACATTCATGAGGAAGAAATTTCAGAGAAATAGAGATTTGTCAATACTGGAACGTCTTGAGATCTAACTCTTTATTTCTTCTGCGTTGTATGTAGATATTTAAGTTTAAGACCTAACGATTGATTATATTTCTGTTGTAAAATTGAACAAAAGATTTTTCAATCACCGATGTACCATTTTGTACAATAATAAAGTTAACAGAAGGATTTATATGAACATTCCGATTGAAATTATTACCAACAATTATTTCCTCTCGTGATTTATTAGTAGGACATAAGATACTTTCTTTACAAATGATATGTACATGTTGGATATCTGATGAAGAACACTGAGATTTCAATCATTTGTAAAAAAAACCAAAGGAACATAAACCAAACGCCTATAATTTTTCACCCGCTATAATACTCATAGAATCATTAATAGTAACATCGAGCTGGCAGAATTATTTTTCTCGTTCCGATGTATAAAATATGATTTCATGATGGATAATTCCGCAATTGAAGCAATAGTGTGACCTAAAGTAATGATAAACGCAATAAAAGAAACCAGTATTACTTAACCATAATATTATATTTAAAAACTACAATATTCAGTAGCAAAACGCCATTGGACTTGACTTTAGCATCACCTCATAATTAAATTCATGGAAAAAGAGGAGCTATCAATAGAAAATAAACCAATGAAATAGTAGTATTCGATTTTTCTTTCAGGCGATATCCACGGTACATAAATATTGGGCGATAACTCGTTCATTGGTACAATGGAAAAATTTATTAATGGAGTTTAATCACTTTTTGGCGAGTTCGTTGCTCAACCAGTCGAGTCCCTCGTAGAGCCCCTGTCCCTGGGTGGCACAAGTACTCTGAATGTACCAGTGACGTCCACGTAGTGCATTAAGGCCGAGTTTATCAGTTAATTCAGCAGCAGTCATAGCATTTGGAAGATCCTGCTTATTAGCAAAAACGAGTAGTACAGCATCCCTCAATTCATCCTCCTTCAGCATGTTAGCAAGCTCCCTCTCAGCCTCAGCAATTCGCTCTCTGTCATTGCTATCAACAACGTAGATCAATCCCTGTGTATTCTGGAAGTAGTGCCTCCACAGTGGACGTATTTTGTCCTGACCACCGACATCCCAAACAGTGAAACATATGTTTTTGTATTCCACTGTCTCCACGTTAAATCCAATGGTCGGTATCGTCGTCACTATTTCTCCCAATTTTAATTTGTACAGAATTGTCGTTTTACCGGCTGCATCCAGACCCACCATCAGTATTCTCATCTGCTTCTTCCCGAATAAACGAGTTAACAAACTACTCACAGTCAGTCCCATTCTCCCTTTGTTTTTTGGCTGTCAATCACCAAAGTTTTTCTCCAGGACTTTATTTTACGAGGTACGAGGTACGGTACTTCCTAACCCACCTAGGCTTTGTCTTGCCTTTATGGCTAATCGACACAATTTTTCTCTCTCTCTCACTACTCTTTACTCACTGCGTTATTTTTTGATGCTATTATTTATTTATTTATTTTTTTCCACCGTTTTCTCGGGGTATTTGTTCAATAAAGAATGACGATTATGATTTGGCCACTGAGTAACTGCTCAATCGGTGCGGCGTAAACGTCACGTCTTTGGTCGTCACTCATCCATTCGTCACCACTATCACCACGTATGTAGAATATACAATTGTGCGACTAAGGAGATGAAGAACACATACGGTACTCGATGGCGATGTTTATTGGTCCTGATGGTGATGGTAGTGGTAAGGGGGAGCGTTTGTAGTTCACTTCACCTGGATAAAATGCCTTTTCGTTCTCCAACTCTTCGGTGATTACTCGTTCTCTAAATATTGCGTCGTCGAGACACGATCCGACACTCCCAACCCGAAGGCGCCATAATTTAAATGTTCAATGACGTATCGTTAATGTTTGTACATACAATAATAAGAAAATTATTTCTTCCAAAATGGTTTCTATTTCAAGGTTAAATGGAATTTTGGAGTTTGCAATTTTTTTCCATTCAATTGTGTGCAAAATACAGTGATTACGCAATTTAGGAAATTTTGGGAGTGCCATTGGAGAATTGAGGGAAATCGTACGGACCCTACGAGGTTAATAGAGATTTCCAGGAACTTACCATGGCAGTCGAGTCCCTCGATGGCGGGAGTGCGCTTGGAATTCAAAATGAGTGAATGAGTAGTAAACTTGTTGCGTGCGCAGCAGAACGAGTTGGTTCAACTCTGTTTAATACTTTTTTCCTCACATTAATGATTATGTCGATAGCATCTGTGACACGTTAGCCAGGGATAAAATAAGCTTGATAGCAGGTGATGAATAGATTATCCCCAGCCACTGGGGACAAAAGAACAAGAAATGGTAATCAATCACCCGAGATTTCTACAAACCGATACGAATCAACTCGATCTAATTATAGCAACAAATGCTAATTCGCTCAATCGTGTTCACCAATTTTATTCAGCCACAAAAAATACCTCGAGTGTTCACGTATCCATCGCGTGCTGGTAATGTCCTGACATAAAGAAATACCGAAAACTTATCCAAAATCCATTTCGCCTCAACGATGGGTGTCTAAATATTTATAGCAGCGTCTGCACAGTGTTTCATCACGCTTGGGACGAATACTTGTCTATATTTTTACGTGGATTATATTGGAATGTCGTGGCCAGGAGTCAGATAGACAATTTAAAATAGTTCATGCACAATCATTAAATCCACCTGGATACAATGAATACAATGAATTAATGCCCTAAAAGTCTTTTTTTTTACTAATCCAAGATAACACGCAAAGGCAACCGAGTGGCTGAATAATTTCGAGCTCCATTTACCACGCAATAATGCCTCATCAGAGAGTATGGGAATAAAATGAACAACAAGTATCACCGAGATTTTTCACCCTCCACCCTGGAGTACTCGATATCCATGAAAAATCAGTGACGTTCTCCTAATGAAGATTAATGCATCAGGATTAATGGACTGCACACGCAAAGTACAGAGCTGGGGATTGGCCCCGGACTGGAAATAGACGCATTGACTTGCATATACCACACGCACAATGAATATCTGAGGAGCCGATTGCGCTGTATCTGCATGGCCTCGGTATCGAGTGCACGAGTAACTCTGCATATGGTATATTACCGGGAGATTCAGAGAAGGTATGACCTCCAAAATAAAACAAACTCACTCTTACCACTTGATCGTCAGGTGCTCTCAGGTATTGGTCCTCATTTTTCCCCAGTGCTTTCACCGCTCGTCAAGGTATGGAACGCGATAAGGATGCATCTTGGAACATTTCGGCTCCTGAAATAGTGAGTCATACATAATCAATTTCACATTCAGCGGGAGGAACAGAGGGGGAGGAGGAAGTAACAATTTTTTCTCTCCCTTTTTTTCTTTTTTCCTGTTGCAGAAATGAAGTGAACACACGGGGCTGGCCTCGACGCTTGGTAATCCGGAGATGGAAGTCGCCTCCGGACGCCTGGAGTTTGGGAGTAGTCGGTTACCAAAGGAGGAGGAGGAGGAGGAGGATGAGGAGGAGGAGGTGAAGGAGAAGGAGAAGGGGGCAAAGGTGGGTGGATGGTTGATAAAGGGGGATATTTAACAGTGGGGGTGGCGCATGCGTTTCAACGTCTGTCACGGAGTTCGACGTTTTTTTTCCAGTCGCCGGTAGACACTTTACCGAGCACCGTTTACGCTCGTCTCCGGGGCTTGTGCGGCCGGAGTTCACTCAGAAACTGTTCGGGTCATCCACGGTGTCCAAGGATTGAGGGAAAAACATTGAGTAGGGGGATGAGGAAGTGAGGGGGGCGAGAGGTGTTTGTGGAACGG